ACATTTTTTCTCCTTATTTTTTTTTTTTTTTTGGATGGCATATTAGAATGCATGCTTACTAACTGAGTGTGTTCAAATATTTGGTTGGTAATGTGGATTTTGAGAAGTAGGATCTGGTAATACAGCCACCAATGAGGCGAGTGGCACTGTGGCATCACCAGTCTGTAGTCTGACAGTATATCGATGAGAGCTAGATAAGTAATTTATTGGGGGTGCCTTTCCATTAGGTTACATGAGGAGCCTCTGGTTTTCCATACATGACACAGAAAAACCAAGACAAACCATCAGGAAAAGACAAACCTATCACACGGGAAAGCCATGATTGCACTTACAAGCCTTATCTCACAGAAATAAAGGGAGAAAAAGGCAAAATTTACAAAAACAACACATTCAGGAAGCATCACCTAATAGAATGCTCAACCTACACAACAATGAGGCTCCATCTCTAGTTGGCTGAGCTTCATGCATTTCAAAAGGGACCCACCCTGACACTAAATGCATTAGAACTGGAGTAACACCTTACATCTGAGGTCCAGAGGCACAACGGAAGAGCTGATGTCAAGGAGAAAACGCAAGGCCTGGCTCAGAGCCTTCAGCAGGCAGCAATATCTAGCTAGTACTTACTAATGCTGCTTTGCCTTTATTTATTTTTATGCTTATCTTCCATTTATGGCTAGAGGTACTGGTTTGCCACTTAGAGTGGTGATGGAGAGTTTCCTTCCAAATAAATTCAGTTAAGTCAAAACATGGCTAGATTTTTAAAATACTAAGCAAATAACAACTTAGGTAGTAGGAAAAAATGTTAAAAAGGCACGTGAATAAGTAAAGTTTGAGAAAAGCTGCAATAAAGTGACTGATGTATATACACCGCAGTACTGGTACCCAGAGGAGGGAGTGACTGATTGGGTCTAAGTAGCTCAGTGAAGCTGTAGGAAGGAGTTAACATCTGAGCTGAATCTCAGATTTTCTAGGCAGTGGAAGAGTGTGGAAGGACATTGCAGGCAATGGGAATAGGATGTTCAAAGGCAAAGAAAGAACTAGCTTTCTCTGGAACCTGAGAGCAGGAAAACCCTGTCTCCATCTAACTCTTCCCATCTTAGGACAGTGGCTTTGTTTCTGCCTTGGTGAGGGCTAAGGAAGGAAAAAATGGCCCTTGGGTACCAGCGAGAGAGCAGAGAGAGATGGGAAATGAACTGAAGACACACATTCTAGTGCTCGGAAGTTTGCCTTGGTGGTGGAATTGCTCAGCTTGCAGGAGCCACTAAAGCAAAGGACTTCAAGCATTTGAGTGGCATGGTCAGACCTGCATTTTTAGAACAATCATTAGTTCAAACAGATGAATCTCTCTGAGCCTTAGTTTGCTCATCTGTAAAATGGGGATAGTTGAAGCAGTGGTAGGATGTCCACCCCCGCCCCCATGCAGCAGAAATTTCCCCACCAGTTCTGTCCTGTTTCTCCTCCATCCAGGGGGCTAAGATGTCCTATCATGGCCACATCTGCACTCAAGGTGTCCAGGTCCCACTTCACTCTGTTCTCGGGCCTTACAAGTATTAAGGATTGTTGGACGGTGCCTTGACCAGTGCTGATGGGTCAGCTGGGATGTCCACACCAAAGGGCAGCTCAATACAGAGTCCCTGCCTCGCCACTGAAAGCTGTTCTTCCTCCCACTTCCAGTCCCTCCACTCGTTTGTCTATGGCCCATTCCTCTCCTACCTGCTACCAGCTCTTGGCCCAGCCCCAGCTTTCTCTGGAATCTGAGAGCAGAAAAGCCCTGTCTCCGCCTAACTCTTCCCATCTTAGGACAGTGGCTTCCTTGAGTCATTGTTTCTGCCTTGGTCAGGGCTGGGGAAGGAAAAAATGGCCCTTGGGTACCAGCGAGAGAGAAGACAGAGATGGGAGATGAACTGAAGACACACATTCTAACGCTTGGAGCCCTACCCTGCCACATAGGCCCAGCGGGCCGTTGTGAGGACTAAGTAAATGCCTGGCAGGTAGGACCCGCTCAGCTTGACGGTTATTATTATTTTTATTTTGGGGCTGGGGAAGACAGAGGTTGAGAAAAATCCTATTCCCATGGAAATGTGTATCCGGAGCTGTTTTCCGAAAGTGCTCTAAATTCCTGGGTCTGCGTCGCCATGGCCCTCCCCAGCCTGTGAAGAGAGAGAAAATGGTGAGGGCAGGAGCCGAGCCTCTGTGTGAGCCGGTCAGCTCAGCCTGGAAGCTTCCACGCGTGAATACAGACAGGCTTCTTGCCATTAGGATAGGGGCCCTTCTGCCTCTAAGCACTCTGTGTACCCTCCCTCCAGCCCCAGGTCTTCGCTGTATTCTTGGGTCCTCCAGCTGAGTCAGGTGTGAGCACTTTGTTTCTTCAACCAGCTAAGCTCCTGAAGGGTTTTTCTGAAGCTCTGGTCAAGTGGAGTGTCTAAATGCAGGCACTTTAATCAGGGCCACGATAGATGGACCCTCATAGAACGGGAGAAAAACGTGGAACAGAACTCATGTTCAAAGTCCAGACTTACCAGACCAATTGAGACTAGAGGACTCCCTGAGACTATCACCCTGAGATACTCTTTTAAACCTTGAACCAAAACTATCCCCTGAGGCCACTTTTTAGTAAAATAACAGATTGACACACAAAATAAAGCATATTACTTGTGAGTACGGTGCCCCATTAAAAAGCCACTTATGTGAGACCAAAAGGTCAACAGTTACTCTAAAGCAAAGATGAGGAGATGCGGGGACAGGGAAACTAGGGCGCTGCAAATGGAACGACCATAATGCAAATGAAGAGAATACTGATGCGGTGTGAAAAATGTAACTGATGTCACTGAACAATTTGTGTAGAATTTGTCAAATGGGAACCTAATTTGCTTGTAAACTTTTGACGAAAACACAATAAAATATTATTTAAAAAAATAAATAAAGGCAGGGACTTTGCAGTCAGGTGGATCTGACTTCAGTTCCTGAATTTGTGATGTGACAGTTTGCTTATTCTCCCTGAGTCTCCATTTCCTGTAAAGCGGGGTTTGGAATGGTACCTCCCTCCTAGGGTCTTATGTAAAGTAACCAACCAACCAGTTATGGATGAGTTGACTCATGGCGACCCCATGAGTGTGAGAGAACTGTGCTCCACAGGGTTTTCAATGGCTGATTGTTTAGAAGTAGATCACGAGGCTTTTATTCCTTGGTTGCCTCTGGGTGGACTCAAACCTCCAGCCTTTCAGTTGGCAGCCAATCATGTAAATTGTTTGTACCACTTAGGGACTCCTGTGTAAAGCATATGAGAAATAATAAGTGCAGACCACTAATGTAGTGTCTGATACATTATTGATAAGTGCTCAGAAACATAGAGGTGGTTGAAATCTTGCCTGAAAACACAGTGCATGCAGTAATACTCACTTCAATCTGATTGCCTCTTCCTCCAGGAAGCCTTCCTGGAAGCCCCAGGCTGGGTTAGATCTTCCTGTAATGTGGTCCTGCCCTTTGCTTCCTCCAAGGCTTCTTAGAATGGTACCTGCTGCTCATTGCTCCCTCTGGCAGAGTCACAACCAGGAAAATAATGACGTGTTCCTGAACCACACTGGTTAACTTGCCTGATTGTGACCACGGCTGCATAGAAGGAAGCCCCAGGCAACAGGAGAGGGTGTTAAAATATCCATCCCAGTAATTAATTGTCTGAAGTCTTTCTTCCTCTCTGGCGGACAGGGTCACAGAACGTGCTTACTTGTTTATTGCTGTAGCGCTAGTGCTACCTGTACCTGCACCCGTACCCATCCCCATCAAATTGATTCAAACTCATAGCAACCCTATAGCAACCCTATAGGACAGAGTAGAACTGCCTCATAGGGTTTCCAAGACTGTAATCTTTACAGAAGCAGACTGCCACATCTTTCTCCTGCAGAGCGGCTGGGGGGTTTGAACTGCAGACCTTTTGGTTAGCAGCCGAGTGTTTTAACCACTGTGCCACCAGGGCTCCTTCCCTAGTGCTTAGCAGGCTCTTAATGAATATTTGTTCAAGACTCAAATAAATAAGGGAACAAGTACCCCAAATTCAATTTTATTGGGCATTCGTTTATTCCCTTTCAACAAATATTTCTTGAGCATCTGCTGTGTGCCAGGCGCTATTCTAGGCTCTTGAGTGATATCAGTGAACAAAACAGGCAAAGATACTTGCCCTCATGGGGTTGTTGTTGTTGTTAGCTGCCACTGAGCCGGCTCCAACTCATTGCAAGTCCAGGTACAACAGAACAAAGCACTGCCTGGTCGTGTACCATCCTCATGATCCTTGGTATGCTTGAGTCCATTGTTACCTTCCAACCTAACGTATTCATCTTCCAGCACTGTATCAGACAGTATCCTTTTGTGATCCACAGGGTTTTCACTGGCTAAGTTTTAGAAGTAGGTCACCAGGCCTTTATTCCTAGTCTGTCTTAGTCTGGAAGCTCCTCTGAAATCTATCCACCATGGGTGACCCTGCTGATATTTGAAATACCATTGACATAGCTTCCAGCATCGTAGCAACATGTAAGCCCCCACAGTACGACAAGCTGACAGATGGGTGGTGGTCATCAGGCTTACCCTCTACCTATGTTGGTTAGGAATTAATACCTATCCCATAGGGATTAGTACTTCAATTATTAGAAGTACAAAACTCCATACTTTGCTTTAGAGTAAACAAGGGCATCTGGACAGAGCTTGGGGTAGATTTGAATGAATATCAGCTGCTCATGACTGTCCGCCTCTAAAAAACCAAACCCACTGCCATCGAGTCAGTTCCTACTCCTGGCGGCTCTATATGTTACAGAGTAGAACTGCTCCATAGGGTTTTCTTGACTGTAATCTTTATGGAAGCAGATTGCCAGGCCTTTCTTCCATGGTGCAGCTGGGTGGGCCCAAACCACCAACCTTTAGGTTACTAGTCAAGCACGCATTGTTTGTGCCACCCTTGACTGTCCCCCAGGCCTCATCTGCTGCTCTGATGTGTTTTCTTTCTCTCCCAGGTCATGCTCTCAGAGCGAAAAGGCACAGACGAGCTGTATGCTGTGAAGATCCTGAAGAAGGATGTGGTGATCCAGGACGACGATGTGGAGTGCACCATGGTGGAGAAGCGGGTGCTGGCCCTGCCCGGGAAGCCCCCATTCCTGACCCAGCTCCACTCCTGCTTCCAGACCATGGTAATGTGTCTGCTGGCCCTGGTGTTCCACTGGCAGGGCTTCCCCAGGCTCTGGCAGAGCTCTCCTAGCAGCACCCACCCCAAAGAGACATCTGGACCCTTCCCATTGTAGAGACAGCATGGTGTCGGGGCTGGGAAAGCCTGCGGAGAGTTTCTGAGGTTGCCATTGAGATGCTCTCCCCCAGGGCAGGTGCTTTCTCAACTCAGATGAAGAAACTCAGGCAATGGGTTTTATAATCAATAGAGCAGAGCCTTTCTCTGACACCATGGGGTCACCTGGGGACAGCAACTGGGGACTTTCAGTCTCACAATATGAGATGTGGTAGAATGGGAATGAGGGGGTGGTGCCTGAGAACACAGCCCTCAGGGGACTCCTGAGGTGGGGGAGGGGGTAAAATTTCTCTGGGCCTCAGTTTCTTCATCTGTGAAATGGATGAGATAATAGGAGCTACATCCCAGGGTGGTTGTGAGGAGGAAATGAGATTACATATGAGACACACTTAGCACCATGCGTGGCATCTTATAAATGCTCGATGACCGTGTGCTGTCGGGTTGACTCCGACTCATGGCAACCCCATGTGCTATAGATGTTAATACACTTTATAGACATTTAGCCTTCACCTTGCTCTTAGTGCTGAGTATGGAGCTGAGTAAGCTAGGTTCTGTCTTTGAGGAGCTTATGATCTTAATGCAGAGGAAACAGACGTGGATAGTTACAAAACAGTGCGATGGGGGGATGTCATAGCAGAACCTGGAGAGATGAATGGGCAAACAGGCCCCAGAGTGTACCTGATAGCCACAATAGCAACTACATTTGGGATGACCAGATGAGTTTCCTCTGGGACCGGGTTCTCCATATCCCAGTCTCCTGCCGTAGCGGCAGGCCGCCAAGGGAGATTTGCTGGAGGCAACATTTTGGACAGACGTGTACTATACCCTGCAGGAGCTTCTGGCCCACTAGTCTTTTTTTTTTTCCCAAAATGTATAACTTTATTATTATTATTATTTTTTATTTTTGTCACTTTTTTATTTTGCTTTAAATGAAGGTTTACAGAGCCAATTAGTTTCTCATTAAGCAATTAATACACATATTGTTTTGTGGCATTGGTTGTCAACCCCTCGATGTATCAACATTCTTCTCTTCTCGAGCTTGGGTTCCCCATTTCCATTCGTCTAGCTTTCCTGTCTCCTCTGGCCTTCTTGTTCTTTCCCCTGGGCTGGTGTGCCCATTTAATCTTATACATGGTTGAGCTACGTGTATTATTGTTTGTTTTATGGGCCTGTCTAATCTTTGGCTGAAGGGTGAACCTCAGGAGTGACTTCAGTACTGAGTTAAAAGGGTGTCTGGGTGCCATGCTCTTGGGGTTTCTGCAGTCTCTGTCAGACCAGTTAGTCTGGTCTTTTTTTTTGTGAGTTTGAATTTTTTTCTACATTTTTCACCAGCTCTGTCCGGGACCCTCTACTGTGATCCCTGTCAGAGCAGTTGGTAGTGGTAACCGGGCACCATCTCGTTGTGCTAGACTCAGTCTGGTGGAGGCTGTGGTACTTGTAGTCCATTAGTCCTTTGGGCTGATTTTTCCCTTGTGTCTTTGGTTTTCTTCATTGTCCCTTGCTCCATATGGGTTGGGACCAGTGGAGTATCTTAGCTGGCCACTCACAAGCTTTTAAGACCCCAGATGCTACTCAGCAAAGTAGGATGTGGAACATTTTCTTTATGAACTGTTATGCCAGTTGAGATAGATGTCCCCCGAGACCATGGTCCCTAGTCCTCAGCCAAATAATTTGGTCCCTTGGGGAGTTTAAATGTGTCTGTGAATCTTCCATGACCTTGCCTTGGTCGAGTTGTACTGACTTCTCCAGTATTGTGTATTGTCTTACCCTTCACCAAAGTTACTATTTATCTATTTATTGTCTAGTTAATGTTTTTCCCTCCCCTTCTCTCCCACCCTTGTACCCATCAAAGATTGTTTTTTTCTGTGTGTATACCTTTTCATGAGTTTTTATAATAGTGGTCTCATACAGTATTTGTCCTTTTGCGATTGACTTGTTTCACTCAGCATAATGCCCTCCAGATTCATCCATGTTGTGAGATGTTTCACAGATTCATCGTTGTTCTTTATTGTTGCGTAGTATTCCATTGTGTGCATGTACCATAGTTTGTTTATCCATTCATCTGTTGATGGGCACTTAGCTTGTTTCCATCTTTTTGCTATTGTGAATAATGCTACAATGAACATGGGTACGCATATGTCTATTTGTGTGACGGCCCTTATTTCTCTAGGATATATTCCTAGGCATGGGATTGCTGAATTGTATGATATTTCTATTTCTAGCTTTTTAAGGAAGTACCATATTGTTTTCCAAAATGGTTGTACCATTTTGAATTCCCACCAGCAGAGCCCACTGGTATTTTGTTGGAGTTTGCTGGCCAATAGGGAGCTACAGTAACTTCCTTTCTTCCACTGCAGGCAGGACTAAGACCTGGAATAGTGTTTTCCAAAGTATGGAGCACATGCCGCTGTGCAAAATGGTCTTGGGTAGTATGAAGGGCAGTTTTAGGTGGTGCATAGATTTTACACTACATTCCCTTTTCCATTCACTTTAAGTTCTCCTGATGACCTACTGTTGTTAGTTGCTCTTAACATCTTTCTAACACTTTCCTTTTTAACAAAGAGGGAGTACCGGGCTTTAGGTTCTGAGCTTTTGGCAAACAGTGGTTTCTAGGTCATTGTTTTGCTTTTATGTTATATATTTTTACAGATTTCTAATAGCCACTCTAGAAACCTTTCCATGTGCTGCGTTCTAATTTCAAGCCCTTCCCGCTCTCAAGAAGTAGCTTCACTCATTTGTGTGTCTTTCTAGTTTTATCACTTAAGTTTTGCCATCCCTAGGCACGATCATTTAAATTTGCCCATTTAAAAAATTTTGGTGTATCTTTTTAGTATTTTAATCTACTCTTGAGATTTGCCTCTCTACCCCTTCTACCCCTTTCTTTGATGGCTTCTCTGTTGAAGACCCTGGGCTGCTGGACATACAGAGTTTCACAGTCTGGGTTTTGCTGGCTGCACATCACGGACCAACTCAGCATGCCCCTTCGCCCTCTGTGTTTCCTGCAAATTGGCAGCTGGGTCTGGAGGCTCGATCAGACTCAGGTTCATTCCCTTTGGCAAGACCATATGTGGTGGTGTGTCCTTTCCTCCGAAGGCACATACTGTCCAGTTGCCTGTCTTTTTTGATGTTGGCGCAACTGACGCTCAGTGCCTTGACCCATTAGCTCATTAGGGATTGCAAGATCATATATTCCAATTCTATCATTTCTTTTTCATTTATTTGTTGGGATGCTTTTATAAAGAGAAGCTTTCCCTTATCTATTGCCCAGTTACCTGGTGGAACAGTTCATGTAAGAAAGGCAGGATAAATGCTTGATTCTTTCCCTTATTTGACAGTTTTCAAGATGATGAATCAGTTCCCATTGTGCTCTGAAGGTGGCTAAAGTTGCCTTCTAAAATAAAATTTTTCAGGAAAAGAGGAGCATCTGTGTAAAAAAAAAATTAAGTAAACAATAATTCACATCATTTGGGGATCTGGCAAAGACCAAGGGAGGGTATACCTTAGTAGTCCAAATCTCTAGTCTTACGCTGGAGAATTAAGGCCCGTTGTTGTTGTTAGCTGCCGTGGAGTCAGTTCCAACTCATAGCGACCCTATCTGCAACAGAACAAAACACTACCCAGTCCTGGGCCATCCTCACAGTCGCTGTTTTATGTGAGCCCATTGTTGCAGCCACTGTGTCAATCCATCTGGTTGAGGGTCTTCCTCTTTTTCACTGACCCTCTACTTTACCAAGTCTCTCTTGATATGATAACATTTCCAAAGTATGTGAGACATAGTCTCACCACCCTTGCTTCTAAGGAGCATTCTGGTTGTACTTCTTCCAAGACAGATTTGTTTGTTCTTTCAGTAGTCCATGGTATATTCAATATTCTTTGCCATCACCACAGTTCAAAGGCATCAATTCTTCTTCAGTCTTCCGTATTTATCATCCAGCTTCTGCATGCATATGAGACAATTGAAAACACCATGGCTTAGGTCAGGCGCATCAAGGTGACATCTTTGTTTTTTAATATTTTAAAGAGGTCTTTTGCAGCAGATTTGCCCAATGCAATGCATCATTTGATTTCTTGACTGCTGCTTCCATTGCTGTTGATTGTGGATCCAAGTAAAATGAAATCCTTGACGACTTCAGTCTTTTATCATGATGTTTGTTGGTCCAGTTGTGAGGATTTTTGTTTTCTTTATGTTGAGGTGTAATCCGTACTGAAGGCTGTAGTCTTTGATCTTCGTCAGCAAGTGCTTCAAGTCCTCTTCACCTTCAGCAAGCATGGTTGTGTCATCTGCATAACGCAGGTCGTTAATGAGTCTTCCTCCAATCCTGATGCCCTGTTCTTCTTCATATAGTCCAGCTTCTCAGATTGTTTCCTCAGCATACAGATTGAATAAGTGTGGTGAAAGGATACAACCCTGACGCACAGCTTTCCTGACTTTAAACCACACAGTATTCCCTTGTTCTGTCTGAACAACTGCCTCCTGATCCATGAGCGCAATTAAGCGTTCTGGAATCCCCATTCTTCATAATGTTATCCAGAATTTGTTATGATCCACACAGTCAAATGCCTTTGCATAGTCAGTGAAACACAGGTAAACATCTTTCTGGTATTTTCTGCCTTCAGCCAGGATCTATCTGACATCAGCAGTGATATCCCTGGTTCCACATCCTCTTCTGAATCTGGCTTGAATTTCTGGCAGTTCTCTGTCGATATACTGCTGCAGTCACTTTTGAATTATCTTCAGCATAATTTTGCTTGTGTGTGATATTAATGATATTGTTTGGTAATTTCTGCATTTGGTTGGATCACCGTTCTTGGGAATACGCAGAAATATGAATCTCTTCCAGTTAGTTGGCCAAGTAGCTGTCTTCCAAATTTCTTGGCGTAGGCTCAGCT